GCAACTAATGTCACAGAATAATTTGTAAAGGAACTACTGATTTGGAAAACAACTTTGCTATGTAAACTATCAACTAAAATATAATAAAATGTCAAAGCAAAAACAAGAACTTTCACCCAAAGCATAATAAAAGGTAAAAAAATATTTTATTGGGATCTTTTACAGCTCTTATCACAATCCATACATACATATATACAAGCACATTTGTACACATGTTGCCATCATCATTTTCAAAACATTTTCTTTCTACTTAAGCCCTTGGTATCAGCTCCTCTCTGTGTATTCTTTCCATCTTCTTCTTTTAAAGAAAACGCAACAGTTTTATTGGTACTTCATCCATATACCACACAATTCAGTAGTTCAATCATATCAAGAAAAGTTGTATAATCAGTACCACAATCAATTTTAAAACATTTTCTTCTTCCTTGTACTCAATGTTATCCGTGTACTTAAAAATTTTTTTGGGTAAAAATATATACAACAAAACATTCTCAAATTCAGCAACTTCTACATGTGTAATTCAGTGTCATTGATTATACTCTTCATGTTGTGCAACCTTTTCCAAATAATTCCACTACTATTAACATAAAGTCAATGCTCCTACGCAAAAATTCATCCTCGTCACCTATGGTAACCATTGGTCAACTTTTTTCCCCAGTAGTTTTCTTGATACAATATTCACATATACACGTCCTTAGTTAAGTCACTTTTTAAAATGTTTATGTTAATCATCACAATCAGTTCTAAAAACATGGAATGCCTCCTGAATCCGTGTGCCATCCTTGTGCAGGGGCCTTGCTAATCTTTTCTGGGTCATTCTGATTTTGGTATGTGTGCGGCAGAAGTGAGCACGTTACTTCTTTTGAAGCTTCCTAAATCATGCAATGTTTTGCCCACAGAATCTCTCAAGATCACAATTCGAGGCATGCTTTGTTTCTTTTTCAGTTTAATGCTTAGTGTCCTCTTTCCTTTTTGAATTCTAGGTATTTACACATTTCATTATAATATTTGTCTTTGTTTTCTTGAGCTGCCCTTTGAAATTTTCTGTTCATCTCTTTGACTTGACCATTTCTTCCATTTGCTTTAGCTCCCCTACGATTATGAGCAACTTTCAAAGTCTCTTCTGACATCCATTTTGATCTTGTCCTTAAATGTCCTTTTGCTTTCTTCCCGAATGATGTTCTCGATGCTCTCCCATAGCTCACCAGGTCTTCTGTCCTTAGTGTTCAATGTGCCAAATCTACTCATGAGATGTTCTCAAAATTCAGGTGGGATAGACTCAAGAGCATATTTTGGCTCTTATGGACTTGTTTTAATTTTCTTCATCTTTTCTCTGAATGTAAATCTGACCGGTTGATGGTACATTCCACAGTGGGCCCCAGGCCTGATTTCAGTTGCTTATAATGAGCTTCTCCATCATCTCTTCCCACAGATGTAGTCAATTTGATTTCTGTGTATGCCATCTAGAGAAGCTACACAGTTGCCTTTTGTGTTGTTGAAAAAGGCATTACCTATGAACAAGTCGTTGGCTTCGAAAATTCTAACCTGTGATCTCCAACTTCATTTCTATCACCAAGTCCCTATTTCGCTTCTTGTTTGTTTCCTACTTTTGCATTCCAATTGCCAGTACTTATCAATACATCTTGAGTGAATGTGTGATCAATTTCCAACTGAAGAATAGGGGAGAATTCCTCAATTTCTTCATCCCTAGCGTTTGTGGCTGGGTGAATAAATTTGAGTAATAGTTGTATTGATTGAATTTCTGTGAAGGCTGATAGATATAATCCTATCACAG